CCAACATTTTCTTTTTTTTCCTTTCGATATAAGTGTCAAATAGGATGATCTAAAAGTTATAATTATTTTCATTCACAACATGAGAAACCACGCGACATAGAAGCCACTTTATATTCACACTATGCATTATCTTATCTTTCGATGTCGTAAATATATCCATGTAGTATAACCTTCCTACAAAAAGGTTAGCGATTGCTCGAATGACGCGCATTCACTACTTCGCTGTTCAACGTAAACTGAACGTACGACAAACAGGGCAGGAATTACTTATTACATTCGCAATTCGCTGCAAGAAGAAAACATGCATCAAGTGAGAAAAATAAAAATTTCGACTTTACGGTAAGTGAAGTAAAAGAAGAAAATATCTCATTTATAATATTCTTCGCTCTTGCCAGAAATTAAATGATTTATTAATTTCTATGGATATTCAAATGCAGTGCTGTAAATCCTTGTATACGGAATACGCATACTTCAAGAATGGCAACTAGTAGGTTCAATAAGGTATGCACTAATCTTTTATTTAAAATTTGGCCAGTTAATCAAAGAATATCTCATTCTTTTATAGATCCTAATTGCAAACAGAGGAGAGATTGCATGTCGTGTTGTAAGAACTGCTAAAAGATTAGGAATAAGAAGTGTAGCAGTGTATAGCGAAGTGGACAGATATTCTATGCACGTAGAACAAGCTGATGAAGCATATTGTATCGGTCCTGCCCCTTCTAGCCAGAGTTATTTAAGGCAGGATAAAATTATATCCGTAGCAAAGAAGTCAAAGTGTCAGGCCATACATCCTGGTTACGGGTTTCTCTCAGAAAATGCAGAATTCGCAAAGCTGTGCCACAAGGAAAATATTATATTTATTGGGCCTCCAGCGAGTGCGATAAAAAATATGGGAATTAAAAGCACTTCGAAGAACATGATGATGGAAGCTGGAGTTCCTATTATAGCAGGTATAGTTTGCGTGTTATTAGACACGCGTACACCTAACGTATAGTATACGAGTGATATTACCGATTGTGAGATCCGACAATACATTGATGTTATTGACAAAGTTAGGATATCATGGGGACGATCAGTCTAACAAGACATTGCTGTTCGAAGCGAAAAAGATAGGCTTTCCGTTAATGATAAAAGCTGTGCGCGGTGGAGGAGGAAAAGGAATGAGAATAGTATTAGAAGAATCGGGGTTCATCGAAGCTTTGGAAGGTGCAAGAACCGAGTCCGAAAAGGCGTTCGGTGACTCGACCGTTTTACTCGAACAATATGTTAACGATCCACGTCATATCGAAGTACAAGTGTTTGCAGACGAATACGGAAATATCGTTCACATGTTCGAAAGAGATTGTTCCGTTCAAAGAAGACATCAGAAGATCATCGAAGAAGCCCCCGCGGTACGTATAGGTTCGAAACAGCGACGAATGCGCATGGATCGCTGGTTTTGTTCAGTAGGAGAAAAATTGTAGTCATATAGCGATCGTAATGTTCCGCAGCCCGGTATTTCAACAAATTTAAGGTCGGATTTAGGCGCAACAGCAGTACGAGCGGCAAAAGCGGTAGGATACGTTGGCGCTGGTACCGTCGAATTTATAATGGATCGTAATCGAAACAGCTTTTATTTCATGGAAATGAATACGCGTCTTCAAGTAGAACATCCTATCACGGAGGCAATCACGGGGTTGGATTTGGTCGAGTGGCAGTTGCTAGTTGCGGCCGGAGAAGAACTTCCGTTAAAGCAGACGCAAATTAGTTTTGAAGGGCATTCCTTTGAAGCGAGAATCTACGCTGAGGTGATCAGATTTTCCATTTCACGCGTAATTCGTATACCAATTTGTCCTTCTGTTTGTACCGCTCTTGCTGTCGTTGGGATAAATCGCAGAATCCAAGGAAAGATTTCTTACCAGGAGCTGGAAAACTTCGGTACGTGAGAATTCCAGAAATCACGGGTGAAACGGTCAGAGTAGAAACTGGAGTCCGTGAGAAGGACCATGTATCCGTACATTATGACCCGATGATCGCAAAATTGATCGTCTGGGGAAGAGATAGAGAAGAAGCATTAGCTATACTTAGATTGAAGTTAAACGATTATAACGTGAGTAAATTTTCAAAGGGGGGACGAGGGGACAATTGTACACGTCGATTTATCGTAGGGGACGACGATGTATCAATAATGTACATTTTGCTGGACATAATTTTAGATAGCAGGACTCGACACCAATATAGAATTCATCAAAGATTTATGCTCCCATTCTAATTTTCGGCAAGGCCAAGTACATACGGGATTCATAGAGGAACATCATCGAGAATTATTTCCGAAATTACACGTGCCAAACGAAATCGCGGCGCAGGCTGCCTTAGCTACGATACTTTACGAGGACACGCATTCTTTACGATCTTCTCTCGCAACCATCGATCCTTTCAGCCCTTTTGCAACCGAAACCGGCTTGAGATTCAACCATCCTTTAACGCGAACCTTCGCTTTCAACGTTTCTAACGTTGACGATATCAAAGTTGAAGTAAGGTACATCGAACCTGAGATCTATTCTATGAGAATCAACGAAATTGGCCCTTGGAGAAGAGTAACAGGCACACTAAAAAAGATACAGAACTCGTTGGAATTGTCTACCGAAGTCGACGAAATGATCGTCAAAGCAAGAATAACCAGAATCGGTGACAAATTACACTTATTCACCAAAGCTAGTATCTGTTTTCTTTCTTCTTTCTGTAGACATAATAATTCAATAGAAATATCGTTCAAGGATGGTTTCATTTGAATTTACCGCTCTTATAGGATCGCGAATGGCAGTTCAATACACCCCCTACAAAATTTGCCCACGATCTTACGAATAGTCAGGTGGAGAAGGATCCGTGCAAAGCTTTAAGTCCTATACCAGGTCTTGTAGACAAGTTATTCGTCTCGAAAGGGGACGTTGTGAAAATTGGTGACGCTTTGTTCGTGATTAATGCTATGAAGATGGAAGTATGTTTATGCCAGTTTCGATATCCTTCTAATCCTTTAATCATTCTCTTTGTACGTTCAAACGTAATCTTTTATTTTCAGCACATCGTTAGAGCATCCACAAATGGTATAGTCGAAAGCGTATTGTGTTCGATAGGTGACAATGTGCCAAAGAATAAGATTCTCATTAAGCTGGCTGAATCTATGTCTGACAACACTAAGAGTGCAAATTGAATATAATTTCATCTTTTACTCATATTTACTAATTCTTTTGCTTTCCTATTCTTATTTTGTACCATTAAAAGTTACTTGAAATATTTTTAAACAAATCCTTTTATTCCACGTCTTCTCGTATTTCATGCACGAATCGCATACGTGAATCGTACGTAAGTACGTGTGTAAGCTTTGACTTTTTGATAGAAATTATCGGCTGGGTGAATCGTAAATATACACACACCGCATTACGGTACGCGTATACGTATGTACAGCGAGATAGCATAACTGCGTGTTTGCGGATAATTTTAACCACGTGGAAATTTCAGGCGCACGTAAACGACGCGGCGTTCCGTTACCGAAAACGCGCCAAACATTGTTCATTTACAGTGATCGTTTTCAAAGAGGCACTAATCGAAGAATGCCGAAAGTCTCTACGGATAATCGTTAGAAGCATTAAAATAAAAAGAAAAATGAACAGCTTCCGATCACCGATGCGGTGTATCTCTCCCAATGCAAGGTTAGATAATAGTAAATGCGAGATACAAGGAGAAATTGAGCATAGGTTAGAATGCTGATACCGTTACTCCTTCTGATCGCCTCGAATAATTTCATTTACAGAGTTTTGACCGCTAAACCTCAAGTGGAACAAACACTCGACGTAAGACAAACGCAAAATAAAGCGAGAAGCAGCATCACATGGTTTTTTGTTAACAGCTCTTTACTCGGCGTACTCATCTTTGACATGTGAGAAATTCATATTTCCCTCTTAATTTGCCATTTGATCTGACGATATTTGACGATATGTGTTACGTTTTAGTTTGTACGGAGGTGCAGCGTACAAACCATTTTGTTGGGCAGAGTGGTGTTTGGCTTCTGTATTTGCATTAAATGCTCTTTATCACATAATACGATACACATGGGCAAGTTTCACTCTAAGACCAGTTTTATTGAGTCCTAAGCAAAGACGTTTATTAGGTGTATCGGAGGATGATCCTCTCTTTAAGAACGAACTATCATCACCTCAGAGGGCATCAGAATCACTAGTTTCCTTAAATTTATCATGTATAGGCCTCGGCAGAAGAATGAGTCCTCTTGGTTCATCAGGACTGAGCGAGTCCAGTATGATCAATATTATCAATATCTCTTTTTAGTCTGGACATTACTTGAAAAATAGGTATATAAAATGAGTATAAATTTTCTTTTCAAGAGGAGTTTTCACCGTCATGTCCATTTTTGAAGTACGGTAGTCCAACGACGCAAAAATCTGCACCCAGCCCTAATGGATCTTTCAATAAATCTCTGAATGTTTCAACAAATGGAAATATAACCAGCGAAGATTTGATTCAAAATGAGAAAGAACTACAACATTATTTGGAAGAAGCTCGTCAGAAAAAGCGTGTTCTATCGACGGATATTGATCAACCTTCGAATTTGCTCAGTTCGTTTTGGTCACATCCGGCGATTAGAAGTCCTGGAGAAGTATCGCCGTTGTTAAGAAGATGCGCGTACCAGCTAGCACCTATTATCGGTACGAGCATAAGCGCATAATTTTCCTTCAACGGTAAACGTTTCCCTTTTCCATAGACAAGTCAAAATCAGCCAGTCCCGGTGCAGAAGAGGGAAATTCACCTAGGGGTATGTTCGGTGCACCCGACGTTTGGAGAAAATATAGAGTCGATCCGAGTAAAGTAAACGAATGGACGGCTAATCTTCGTATGGCAAGTAGAACGAATAGATACCGTACAAACGACAACGACGTTGTTGTATCGTCGAATTTCACATTGTATATAACGAGAAGATTGTATATTTCAGTGGATCAGCAAAACAGTGGTGGAACGAGTAGCAACCGAAATCGACAATGTTTGCTTGGCATTGGTTCGTCACGGTTTAAGCGATTCTCAACTTGGCTCTGTTGGGTTGGATAGATTGAGAAAACTTGCTCAAGCACCATTTTTAGTCACCGCTATTCCTACCTTACCAACTTTGGTACCTTTCCTGGAACTTTCTAATAATCAGGAGTATTTAATTAGAAGAATCAAAATTCTTGCGAAAGGTGGTTCTATGAGTGAATTCAAATGGAATAGCGGAGGAGCGCACAATGGCAAAGAATGGGATTCCAGTTTGCCAACCGATTCAGCGGTAGTTCGATTCTTTCATATTTTCTTCTATGTTGATAGTATGTACTATATTACCGAAGCAATAGGTACGATATACGCCTTTGTGATTTTTCTAGATAATCATGCACTTGGTATCGACGTATATGGACACGCAATTAGAAGCCCCTTTAGATCAACCCGATGCACGGCCATTTACATCGCGATACATGGCTAGATCAGGAATGACATTACCGCGCAGCAAGGGGCCCGTGATAGTGTGTCAGTCTATAAATCCACCGCATTACAGTTTAGCACACTCCGGAGATTCGTCGCCTAGTGATTACGAGGAAATACAGCGTGTAAGTATATCGTAAGTTTTGACACGGCATGCCGTGGGCGTGCTATATTTACAAGATGATACATTAATCATTTCGTTCTTGTTAATATTTTAGGGCAGAAACAACTTATTTTATACGCTTCTGCTGTTTTTATACATCGTTAAAACGAGAGATCATGGTATGTTGGGTCGCGTTAATTTGGGTACATCAGGTATAAATGTTTTATGGGTAATTGATGGTTGAAGAGCCGGGGTGTTCCGGTAGAAGAAGCCAATTTGTTCCGGAAATAACAGGCGATCGATAGCGTATCAGTTTTCACGATTGCTACTTGTGTGTGCGCATGCGTGTGTGTGTGCGCGGTTCGTCGTTTACTTGTACTTTTTCGCGAATCGTGTATAACGATTGTACTTTTCGTTTTTTGTCTTTTCTCCGAAGCGTGTTATTAATTTCTGGCGGACGTGGTGGTCAATCGAGAGTACGAAGAAACATCTACAATAACGGTTTTGATACTACGAATGTTTTATTCACAGTACTTAAGTCCTATGTACAAATAAATCATAAATCACGATCCGTATATCTACTGAAAATAAATTCTCACTTATTCAATATGCTGCAACATATCACTGTTGTTCCGCAAGTCCCTCACCGTTTTTCCCTTGCATTCTTTATAAATCTTTCAACGTGTACTTACTGAATGCGTATACGCGCACGCAATACGTATAACAAGAACCGCAGAATTCTCCGCAGGATTCTTAAAACTGGAACAATCCGGTCAAATAAATGCGTGGATCTAACGGATCGTAAAAATATCTGCATTCCTGTTCGCGTTACACACCGCCAATAACGTATTACACAAGGAATGCAATTATTTCCAGCGTTACTCCATCAACGCGATTTAATTTTTTATACAATTTCGTATTTTTACACAATTTTATAACTCCTTTTTCCTTTTTGTCGTAGTCCAACGATCGAAAGGCATATTTCGTAAAAAATTATGTTGCACTTTTCGTACAATTTATAATACAATCTTTGGATAACGGTTCTCGTACGCTTAAAATCAATTTGTATGTACACTATACGCACGTGTCATGATAAAATGATAGTGGTCTATATTCAAATTGTGATTAAAAAAAGCAACATGTTCGTTCGGGTGTAACTTTGCAAGATCGCGACAAATGTTGATTTTTTTAGCACGCGGCGTTGTTTCAACGACGGTACAAACGACGATGGCGATGCCCTTCAAACGAATACAGAAATAATTCGATTATCGTTCGTTCGCGATGCGTATGCGTTCTTTTAAAATAACACCATGGGATCGAAGGAAACGAAAAATTAATATTCAAAAGGAGAGTGAGTGAAAGAAAGAGAGAGGGGGGGGCGGGGGGCGAAGAGAAGATTATACCATGGAGTATTCCCGTACTATCTTTGTATCCATGGGTATGTATGCATTTATTTATATCATACACACTTGTGTGTCTGCAGGTTAACGACGGCTACTTGCTTTTCAAACGTGAAATCGGACGCGGAAAGACACACACAAAATGGTTCGAGACTATGACACGGGGTACGTTTTGTTCATTTAATATAATACTCGACCTCTAATTAGAAGAAAGGTCGCCGTTCAGAAATATACGCTACTTTCGGGCGAAGGGGGGGATTTTATATTTTTTCTAGAACGTGTAAACAAAGACTTTCGTCCATTTGACCGATTTTTCTTTTCTTTTTTTTTCCAATTTTTCATTTTCTAAACAACTCTACCGAATAATCCCCATATAGCTTACGGTGGCTTCACCAAAGTATTTAAATATAAACAGAGATATACAACGTATAATACAAAGTTAAAAGCACTATCTTTGTTGCTTTTTTTTTTACCCTTGCCGCCGTTCCTCTCAAGATTACACCGTCGTGATTCTCTTTTGCGATTACAAAGGGCAATTTCGCTTTTACGAATAGACGTGAAAGAAAAATTCGCACAAGTGAGCGCGCGCGTGTGTGTGTATGGTTCGATTTAAGACGTAGTGAATATTTTGGTTCCTTCTGGTAATATTACTTCTTCGCCAACATCGGCGAGGGTGACTGTGAGAGGAAGGATCAGGGGCATTAATATCTCTTGATGTTGCATAACCGTTTGTTGAGTAGCGACTGCATCAGGTTGTCTTGTAATGGTAATGGTTTTAATATTTTGTGCCTTAACTATTTGACCTTGTGCAAGAGTGGCTTGTTGTAACACTCTTTGTTGATTTTGAACCGGTTGCACATGCGCTGTCAATGTTTGAGCACGATTCTGATTCTGTACGAAATTCTGTTTGCACCTTTTACTATGAGCGTATCTACTTCCGTTATTGTTGAAACGTCGATCACAGGTTGGACAAGCGTAAGGTCTTTGACCGGTATGAATGAACACGTGCTCCTTGAGGGATTTGAGGCGACGGAAATTCTTCGGGCAATACTTGCAATGATACTTGGCTTCGCCGGTATGCGAAGTCAAGTGATTGGCTAGCGTGTCCGCTCTGGCGAATGCCCTTGAACAGTACTGACAGATGTACGGCCGTTCTTGCGTATGTGTGCGCATATGCATTTTCAAATAGGCGTTCGTTGTGAACGGTCGCGAACAAACCTCGCATACGTACGGCTTGATGCCGTTGTGCGCCCTAAGGTGGGCGATCAACGTGGTCGATTGGGTGAAACTCTTGGAGCATATCTCGCAGAGGAATCTCTTCGAGCTGTCGGTTTCTTTGTTCTTCTTAAACGTTCGGTCGTGTTTCGATAAATGATTCGTCAATTGTTCCTCTTTAATGAAACGCTTGGTGCACCGCGTGCACTTGTACGGTTTGATCATGTTGTGCTTAGCCACGTGTATCTTCAAGTGCTCCCTTCGGTAGAACTTCTTCGGGCATATGTCGCACAGATACTTTTTCCCTTCGTGAACTTGAATATGCCGTAAAAGCCCCTTCCTCGACGTGTACTGTTTGTTACACTCGGTACATTCCAAACCTACGATGTCGGTTCTCCTTTTCCTACCAATCTTCTCGCCCGGCTTCTTCTCCTCGGGTCGCGGCTCGATGTCTCTCAAGTCTTCCTCCGTGAGTATACCTTCGGTAACGTGTTTCGATCTATGTTCCCGCAGGATCTCGTTGTTCTCGAAACTATCCCCACAGATATTGCACTTTCTCACTTGATCGGGATTCTTCTCCGAACACTTGTCGTAATGAGCCTTCAGTTTGTCCTTACGATAGAACTTGACGTTGCAAATGTCACACTCGAAGTTTGGTTCTTCGTGCAACAACTGATGTCGCAACAACGACTTTTTCGTGCTGTATCGTTTCTTACACTTTGCACACTCGTGATTGTCCATCGGCCAGTCCAAACCACTCTCGAAATCCGAGTCGAAGTCGTCGTCCCTATTGTCCAGGTTGTCCGCCGCCGCCTCCTCGTTCGCACAGTTTCTTTGTCGGTCCTTTTTCTCCGTCGATTGCTTTTGCTTATCCGATTTCACCGTTCGTTGTTGCTCGTCCTTCACGTGTTGTTCCATATGCTTGGTCAACGATTGTTTCGAGCTGCACCGTTTATTGCAACTCACGCATTCTAGTTCCTTCTTGTAATTATGTTTCTTCTGCGAGGACGTATCTCGCTTGTTCCGACCGTAATTCCCATCCGTATACGTACCACGACCGATCTTATCGTTATTATCCTCCTCCTCGTCGTAATCTTCCAAACCATCTTCGGTTTTGATTTTGTCGATGATTTTCTGGGCTGCTTTCGCGGCCACCCGTTTAATACGTTTATTAGGATCGTATTCTTGCCCGTGGACGAAAGTTTTATGATTAGTGGCTATCAAGTGATTGCGCAAAGTAAGTTCGTTACCGAACGTTTTACCGCATTGCGTGCATTTGTAAGTTTTCACGCTGCGTTCGTGCTGTTGTTCCGTGTGCCTCTGCAATAGATCCTTGGTTGCGAACCGTTGACAACACACCTTGCAACTGTAACTGATCCCCGAATGATGATGATAATGATGATGATGATGGCGATGATGCACCTCCGTGTTTCTAAATAAGACGATACTTTGTCAGACGATTCGAGCTTGGAAAAGTGATCCGCTCTCGTGAAATATTTAAAAAACCTTTGCTTCTTACCTACCTGTCGATTTTCTTCGATCCTCCTCCTCCTCCTCCTCCTCCTCCCCCTCCCAAACTGTCCCCAACAATCCTGCTGCCGCTGCTGCTCTTGTCAGTGCTTCTTCTTCGTTTTCCATTTCCCGATTCATTTCCTCTCTTTCCTTTCCTGCCATCTCGTCGCCGTAATCATTTGTCATTTCTTTGTTAATCAGCCCCCCGCCGCATTCTGTATCCATTTCGAGATCTTGCTCGGTTAATACACCTTCGACCACGTGTTTTGCTCGATGATTTCTTAATTTCTCCAACGAATCGAATTCTTCTTCGCATACGTTGCATCTGAGAGCAGCATGTGAAATAGCGTGTTTTCGCAAACCACGTTTCGAATAAAATTTCTCCGAGCACTTATCACACGCATACGTTTCCATACGAATAACGCGACACTCCTGTTCCCCTTCTCTGTTCGAATTGCCATCTTGACCACCACCGTCGTCGTCATCGTCGTCGTCGTCGTCGTCGTCGTCGTCGTCGTTTACCATTTTGGAACCTGTTGGCTCTCGATCTTGCTGAATACCATCGTTGTCATCGTCGTCGTTGTTGTCGTTGTCGTTACTGTTATTGTCATGGTCGTCGTCGTCGTCGTCGTCGTCATCATCGTCGTCGTCGTCGTCGTCGTCATCGTCGTCGTCATTACCGTCAGCATCGGCAAACTCACCGCTGCCGCCGCTTCTTTCAGCTTCCATCATCCTTCCTTCCTCTTCCTGTTCCTCCTCCTCCTCCTCCTCCTCCTCCTCCTCCTCATTCTCATTCTCATCCCCGGCCTGTTCCTCTTCCATCTCATGCTCTACGCCTTCTTCTATCACCGTTCTTACTCCACAGCCGATGCTTTCTCTTTTTTGTTTCACTCTCTTTCGACATTCAGCATCCATATGTCGACGTGCGTCTTCGTAATCGTCAAGATCTAAACTGTGCTCATCTTCATGGAATGAAATTTCTAACGGCATTGGTTGTTCCTTTCCCTCCTCCTTTTCTCTCTCGTGTTTCTTCAAATGTTTACTGAATGAAATGATGTATATATACTGTTTGCCGCAATAAGGACATTTGTTCGATCTTTTACCGGATGGTGGGGACTTTGTGGGATTACAGGCAACCTTTTGCGGCGTCTCTAGCGTTTTCTTCAAAGACAATGTCTTTCTAACTTCTTCGTGAGAATACATGTGCTCCTTCAAAACGTTCTTCGATAAAAATTCCTTGTCGCATAAATAGCAAAGAAAGAAAATTTTCTCGGGTTTATCGGATGCCTGAGCTTTCTTCAGTCTCGAGCTTAAATTCAAATTCTCAAAATAATTTTCCTCGTCGGAGTCTCGTTTCGTTTCCAAGTTTCGCCGGACTGATCTACGTTTACTTCGCCTTGTTTCATTTTGACAGTGAGACTCTCGTTCCGACTTAACATCCATAATCGTAATATTCGATTTTTCCATTTCATCTTCACCTTCTTCTTGATTCGTAGTAGCATCGGCCGCTTTTACCAACAGATTTACGTATTCTGCACAATCTTCGCGTTGAAAGGATCCTTCGTCTGTAAGTTGGTGATGCTTGTGCTGCTGCTCCTCTTCTTCCTGTTCTACCTCTTGTTCCTGCTGTTCCTGTTGTTGCTCACAATCATTGGATAATATACATTCCTGGTGTAATATGTAATCATGTTCCACCGTTGGGATACTTTCCAGACAACTATTATTCTGACATTCGTGTCTTAACTGCATCTGTTGGTCCTTGGTGGAGCTGTCTACCATCATATCTTTAATATCCAATTCATCGTGGTTTACACAATGTTCAGTTGTGTGGTCTGTAGAAATGGTTTCATCTATCACTTCTTCTATTACAGATCCATCGTTCTGTTCTGGGAAACACGAAACGCTCATTAACGTTTGAAACGAAAATGTAGCTGTTTGATCGGATCTTTACTTACCTCTTATAGCTTGTTCCTGTTCAGCTAACTTTTCCACTTGCAACAATGCCAATTGGTCCTTCAAAAGCGACGACTTCTCTTCCGGAGACATCGACGTCAGAGTTTCAGCGGTATTTTGATAATCATTCTCCACGTGCATTTCACTTATATTCTCGTTTCTACCTGCCGCCTCCAAGTGTACTTCAACTTCGTCGAAAAACAGTTCTTCCTTGATGTTCATCGTAACGAATCTTTCTCTGAGAACGGTGTCCGCTTGTTCCACCTGTAGCTTAAATTCGTACGCGGATTCGAGTTTGTCCGCGCATATACAGCAGACGCGCGTTGGTAAGCCATCCCCAGGTAACATCTAGAAGAAGCAAAGTAACGAGGAATGATTGTCGTTGGAATCATTCGTTCACGATTCGCAGTTTTCTTTGTTGTGAGAAAAAAAGGGGAACGGTGCAAAAGAACATTGACAGCATGCAACACAGTGGATAGAGTGAGTGAGTGAGTGAGTGAGTGAGTGAGTGAGTGAGTGAGTGAGTGAGTGCGTGAGTGAGTGAGTGAGTGAGAGAGAGAGAGAGAGAGAGAGAGTGGGACGAGGGAAAAACGAAAAGTGAAGGATAAGCATAAGCACAAGTATGTCAAGTCGATAGTACTGATTTTCATATTCTACTTGTTCGAAGATGTGTATACTGCGTAATATCGATCATGTTAGTTTATCGTACGGTTTCTTGTTCTCTGCTGTACGCAACGTAACCTCTAAATTACATGTCTAACCTTAACATTAGCGAAACTCATCGCCTTTGCCGAAAGGGAAGCAACCTCACTTTCCAGAAACAAGTCTCGCATCACCAGATTACCAAGAAGACAAACACGGCATATTTCTACCGTCGATACGATGCTCTCCTCTTCGTTTTGTGTCGAATCGGACGTATTTATTTCCATGGCGTCCATGTTTTGTTTAGTGGTGGACTGGCTGGCCCGTGCCTGCTTCCCGCAGCCCACAGCCCGCAGTCCACGATCGGCCGATCTCTCGGTCCCTCCAGGCTGTCACCAATCGTTATCTCCGTTTAGCTCGTTTGCTTTTCTTTGCAACGGTATCTACTTTAAAACCAACCCCTAACTACGGCTGGTGGAACCGTTTTCAACCCGTTTTCCAATGTGTTTGACGATGACGCAGCAGTACACCACCGCGATACTGGAGCGCTTCGCGTCTCCTTCTT